GAGAAGACTAAATGTTAACAACTGTTTATGCATTGCCAGATTTTACTGAAATACAAGTTCTGAAGCACTTGTCATTTTGGTCACAGTAGTACTACAATAAAGGTAGCAAGAGACTCTAATTCAGTCTGTGATTCAGTACTATTAACAATTCTGCAAAACAATGCACGTATAGCAGTGCTATTCCCACCTATTCGTTTTCCAAAACAAACCTATGAACAAAAACAAAACAAAATATGAACTATTAAGGTCAGAAGGCAAAATTTTTCATATATGCCTTTACTGATGAGACTGACACTTTTACATCTCAGTATAGTCACAAGATAATTAAGTAATTATGTAGATGCTTTTCAAACAGTCTGCTTAATCCCTAAGTATTAAGTGTTTGGTCACCTGAGTATTGTGCAATGAAAACCAAAGAAAATCAGTTGCTACTTACCACCACCCTTAGCAGAAATACTGTACTGATCCTGTGTATTTCCCTAGGTTCCCTCTTTGAAAACCCAAAATCACCATGGGTACAAATCTTATTTCCATGACAGCAAGGACCCACATCAATTGAGAAGACTGACTTTAACTGTCCCAGTAGTATTCAGCTGATCATGTCTGAATTTATTAAAACCATGTGACAGTCAGTTTAATCCCTGGTTTAATCTCAGGTTTGCCTGAAAGATGAAATTTGGCCATTGTATTTATAGCAGAATTGCAAAACCTGAAAGTATATCACTTCCCCTCTATACTTCATTGTTCTGCTCCCTGCAAATATATACTCTCTATTTGCAGGACTGGAGCTAATCTGTTTATGATACCACTTCTAATTATTAGGATCACTAGGAGTCCTGTTTCAGTGAAGATTATTTTATAATAAAGGTACTTATTATAAAACAGAAGGTGGATATTGAACTGGAAGATCTAATTTTCTTTATTTGACCTTTAGAAATGGCCTGAAGTGATCATTTCCTCTATAAAATGGTACTATTAATACTTTGAATTTAAAGAGCATAGTTGTAAGAGACATCTTATTAAAATCTGAAAATGCTCTTAAGGATGACTATATGAAGGTGCACATTCTTATTCAGCAGATCTGCTCCCTGTAACTATTTAATCACAGTTAATACCCCACTTTAGTGAAGTACTAACCACACAAGTACCCTCTTGCATGAGTTCAACATGCAAAAGCCTTAATATGAAGCTAACATGCATTTAAGCTAGTCCTGCAACTGAGGGGGGGGGGGGGGGGGGGGGGGAAGTGGTATTCCTTCTTTTTTTATTGGAATATTAGTTGTGTCCTCACAATTTCTCCTCTGCTGTGCCAGCACAGTACTTTGGTCCCCTGCTCGGTGACCCAGATAGGGTATCACTACCTAGCTGAAAAACAAACTTTCAGCTGCATCAGTTCATTATAGGACTGCAAAAATGTTTTTGCTCATATACCAGTGTTTGCTGGATGTACAAACAAGCATTCAGGGAGAGAGAAGCACAGACTTTTTGTGGGAACGCTGATCTAAGTAGTACCAAATTGCAACCTGAAGGCACTTTTATTCTCTGCCCAGCCACAAACTAACAAAACCCTTTTTGAACAATATAGTGATGGTGTAAAATGCCTTTTATGAGGGTCTATATCCATAAGCCCAACACAGCAAAAAAAAAGTGTCACTTTAATCACTTGCGTGACTTACCAGCTGAATTATTTACACATATTGTAATCAGGCAAGCTGGGTAAACTCATTCACAGTGATGAAGTAGTACTGTCATTAAGGGAATCAACCAACACACGCACACTTTGTAACTCATATGTCAGCTTTGAGATTATTGGTAATAATAAAAAATAAATCTGCTAATAAAAAGAAGACAAGGCTTCAGCCCAATCTGTTCTTGTTCAGCTACTTAATGAATGGCTTATTCAGCTGTTCTGTCACAAGGGAGGAGCTGGAGCAGAGATGAGGAAAGGGGCCAGAGCTGTTGCTGCAAATGTGTATGTGGAAACACTGTTCAAAACCCCAGGCAGCATCTACAGAGCTGGCAGAAAAATCCTTGTTATCATTTGAAATGAATATGGACTTACTGTAGGAAAAAAGCAAAATCTGTTTAAGTTCTGAGTTTTGTTTATAATATTAATGCATACTGCTTGTTCCAAACCCAGTTTCTTGGTAGATCACTTTTTCATGTCTTCTACACTCCATTTCCTGGGAATTTATGTCTGCTGAGGGAGTAGTTATCTAATCAGGGGAAAAAAGTGATTAATTACTGTAGGTATAACCCTTATTCCCCCCTCAGGAATAACAAAGCTGGGTCAGAGAAGGTGGATGTAACCATACTTCCAAAGAGCTCTCAGCAAATTTTTTTCTTTCCTCCCCTCTCTGATAACTGTTTGCTAAAGCTAACAGATACTTCCTTTAGAACAACCATGCTAGAAGCAACTCAAGGAAAAATCACAACCCCTGGCTTGGAATTTGAGCTGTTTTTGAAGAAGTTATTCTTCACCGAATACATAAAACTATCCAAAACTAAGATATAAAAAATTGGCTAGATTACTTCCCTTCTGCCTCAAACACAGTACATTTAATGAAAATCATGTGGAATATAACATCAGCTTTTGTGAAAAAGAAATGTAACAAGAACAGCTATATAAAGTCATTTCAAAGGGCACTTTTAGCTCAATATCTGGCCTAAAATGGCAGTCAACAACAGATGCCTAAGGAAGAATGTCAGAATAAAGCAATCATATGATGCATCTTCCTTGGCAGTTGCACAGAGCTTCTGACAGTGTTGTTCAGAGACTTTCTGACCCAGAGGTGATATCATGGTATTTAATAATTGTTAACAGACATATAATGGAAAAAAAAATCATCTTTCTGGACTAATCTAAACTTTTAGCATCCTTAATATCCAAAGACAGAGCTTCACAATTTAGCTATACTTTAAGCACTTTATTTTCTTCTAAGTACTTTGTTTTTAATTTTCTACTCGACAATTGTGCTTAGTGCCCTCTAGATCTCGTTTTAGGAAAGGCAGCCATTCTGTGTCCACTTTTCTGTGTCACTCATGACTTTACACATCCCTGTCACGTCTCCTTAGCTATAGTCTATTGGATTGTAACTATCTATTTAAATCTCTGGGAGTCTTTGTCACTCATCCCCACGTCTTTACTATTCCAAGAGTACATTTCAAGTGACTCAAGAATACAGAGACAAGAAAAAAAGTGTTTCAGAGCATAAAGATTTACAGACTTGAACATGTGGCAAAACCTGGTCTTCAGATGTCCCTGCTCATTGCAGAAGGGGGGTGGAACTTGATGACCTTTAGAAGTCCCTTCCAACCCAAAACCAAACCGTTCATGATTCTATGATTCATCCAGATGAAGAAGGCTGAAGTAGTAAGTCTGAATTGTCACACATTAAGCACAGGTAAAAACATCTTTGTTTCCATACGCCTCATATACCCACACTTTGGCTTTATTTTTCTCACACTGAAGGCTAAATCTGAAGACAATATAGGCAAAATTAAATGTACATAACTTTTTAATGCACAGGTTGAAACTTAAATTTAAGGTAAAGGCACCTTCCAACCAGCTCCTTCTGAACCACCAAATCTCTCACAAAGCCATCCTAGTGCAGTATAGTACTCTGTCAGCTTTGAAGGCCAACAGCCTTAGGACCAAGAACCAAGACTCAGATTTGTTCCCTTTAATTTTACACACTGGCCTAAGTCTCCAGAGTTACTAGCAGTCATCTTCATTTCCCCCAAACTCTTTCCTGGAGCTACTCATCTCTTACCATGAGTGGGATTTTAGGCACATTAATCTCTGCAGTGCAGTGAATCAAGTGTCTAAAGTTAGATAGGATGGTAAGGTCAAGCACTGTGAAGAACATCCACTGTATTCCTTGTTAAGGCTCAAGTGCATTTGTGGGAGATCTGCTCTCTCTACGCTCACAAACTAATAAAAGTAGTCTAAACACTGCCATGATTGAGATGGAAGGTCACAAGTGACTGGAGTCACTGCTGTCTGAAACAGTGCCATACTGGGAGGAGTGTTCACTTCCTACTTAAGGCACAGTCATTCAGCACTAAAAAAGAACTCTGTTGATTGCCCAGTATCAAATTTCCCATATCTGAACACAATCACAGAGAAGCTAACAAAGTTCAGCTACAGGATCATTTAATTAGGCTGCCAAAGCATGGCAAGGTATCTCATTTCACTGGCCATGAAGGACTTGATTCAGTGCCTAAGTACTGCTGTTTAGGGTCATTAAGATGCCCAAGTTTCCCAGGTGTCCTTACCCTGCCCTTTTAGAGGGCTTGGGGTGTTTCTTCCGTTCATGTGTTGTACCTTGCAGCCGTCTGGGTTTTTGTATACCTCTGGGCAGTGCAAAGGCCCTGAGAGGTGGGTCACTGTGGGAAAACAACAATCTTTGGGAATCTCATGGCAAGTTCTTGCATTTGTTGCAATCACTTTATTCCTTTCTCTGGCCTTTGTTGGCCCTGTTGGCTTTGACAGCCTGCTGGCCATCCTCACTGAAAACCACCACCAGCAATCAGGAGGTAGTGCAAGGGCTCCTCACCACCTCCCTGCCCTCACAGGAACTGGAGAAGTCCACACAGCAAAGAAAGGAAAAAAAGAAGGTCAAAGCCAAAGAACAATAAGCATTGAGGGAGCCGGAATTGGCCTGTGTATCACAGAGCTGAGCACACAAACGGCTGTGACCCTCTGCCACAGCTCGGGCCTCGTACAGGTGCGCCAAAGGGACGCAGGCAGCGCAGGCACGGCCAGCGCTGGCCGCACGCACCGGGAGCTCCCGGGAAGTCAAACATCCCCTTCCAGGAGCCTGCGGGGCCAAGACCCTGCCCCAAATCCCCAGCCCAGCTCAGCCCCGGGCGGCAGCGGACTGCATCAGCCCACCCCACGCTCTGACTCAACCCCTTCCCTTCCCTTACCCGGCCCCGCCCCGTTGGCGGCCATCGGCGCCTGCGCGGGGTTGGGTGCTGACCGGAGTCCGGCCGGTGCCGAACTGTGGTGGGTGATGGAGGAGCGGCGGCGGTTGCTGCCGTTGTGGCTCCAGAGCTTGGCGTTGTTTTGGGGCCGAGCCAGCATAGGGCTGGCGCAGCTCAGCACCACGGCTCCGCCAGCACCGGCACAGGGTAAGGAGGGGCGGGGGACAGAGGGGCAAGGGGAGCTGTTCCCTTCCTCCCAGAGGAGGGGCTTGCCCGCGGGTGCGAGCTGTGGGGCCTTCCCGGGGAAGGACGCTGTCTGGAACAGGGCTGTGGGGTGCACGGCGGGAGGGAGGCAGGTGCTCGCCCCGAGGTCTGCAGGTGCCGAGCGTCTCCTGGAGGGCTGGTGGAGCTCGGGGGCTTGCCGCGGCCCAGCGCAGGCTGGTTCCGGTACTTCGGCTGCACTTCTTCCCCGGCTCCAGTGGAACGGGGCCTGCAGCCTCCTGCCCAGGGGCTGGCTCGAGCCTCTACCGAGGGAAGTGCGACGGCACTGGGGTTTGTGCTGCCGGTCGGCCTGCAGGGCCGTGGGGTTATCGGGGGGTTTTGTTGCAAGGAGACGGCAATCGCCTAGGCTTTCTGGGGTCTGAGTGGTTGCGAGGAATGTGGTTTGAAAGGAGAAGCCGACAGAAATTCTCATGCCATCCTGCTTGTGCTGTTGGGATCGCTTATATCATAGCTGCTTTTGGAAAGCTGTTGGTGAAGCTCATCCTCAAATCTGATTGCCATTAACGCATGCGGCCAGAAAGGGGCACATTAGGTTAGTTTGCATTAAATTAGGATACATCAAGTACTTCTAAACACACCTTGACACGTGTGTGTAGAGTACAATTTGAGGTGGTTGGTTTCTTTCATGGAAAGGTTTATACTTGAAAAGAAAGTATGGAACTCTGTGAGGCAACTGACATGAAGCAGAAGAGAAAGGAAGTGGTCAGTGTTTCTCAAGAAAGAACAAAAGGTAGACCTGCTAATAGCTGCAAGTTAATCAGTTTTTTTCTAGTAGTCCTGAGAAATATAAATGAAACAAGAGTTTTTCTTACGGATTCCCTATGAAAGAAGTTTTCACATATTCTTATGTGAGTTTAGGAATTTGCTTACAACACAAAGTTGATTCTTGATATGAAGAAGGATCATGGTGATATACAGGAAGATGTGAGTGACCTTTGAGGAATAAATGCTAGAAAAAAGGTTAAAGCAAAAAATAAAAGATTGTTATGCCACATGACTAGTATCATTTTAACATTATAACAGCTGGGGGGAAAAAGTAGGGAGGTATGCTTGATGACTGTCAAATGCATAGCAGTTGCTGGAGTGATGCCCTCCTGAAGAGAAGGTTGGCAGTTTTATGGTAGTTTTTCCAAGGTTGTTGGACCTTTTATGCCATCCTGATAAATACTCCACAAGTTCAGCAGCTGTGCTTAACAGGGCTGGACTGACACAAATCAGGGCTACAAAGGGTGCATTATTCCCTATTTCAGAAAATACCAGGAAGAGTATTGCTTTTATTGCTGGAGCAGAAGGAAGGTTGAGGAAGATAAGTGCTCTTATACCGGTGGTAGGGAACAACTCTTTAAGTTGAAGAACAGTGTTGTCCTGAGAATGGGGGCAGAGAACAAACAAATTAAGCTTATTCATGGCTAATTCATTTTAGGTGTTGAAAAGTTCCCAGCCCTTCTCTCTGATCTTAGGGTTGTATGGCAGTTGTCAGTCCTTAGTGTGTGTTGGTATAGAGCCTTGTTTTCCTTAAAAACATTAAATCTATTCTATGCACAAATACTTATTGGAAAGGGGAGAGGGGGATAAAGCTGTTTTTTAAACAATTTTGTTTTTAAAACAAAGTTGTCAGCTTTATTCTGTTTTACCTGTATTTTGTTCTGTATTTTGTGCATTGTTACCTTGGTCCATGAGTATGTCTCCTAGAAAGTGAGATCAGACAGAACTTAGTACAGTTCCTGTAGGTGCGGGCAGTGTTCTAACTATAATTAAAACAAGTGCATGAACAATAATAGCTTTTTCTTATCTTGTAAGAATGTGATCTTCATACGGCTAGAGTTCACTACATACAAGATGTTACACTGAACTATTTTGGTAAAAATTACACTTATCAAAATAATGTTTCCAGTACTTGGTACTTCGAAATTATTTCTCATTTTGTTGCATGTTAGGTGATTAAAGCTGATGATATATGCTGGTATAAAAAGAATGACTACGTTTTATAAAGGCTGTTTAAAGTGCAGTGTGAATTACTGTTGGTAGTGGTGCTGTGGCTTATATTCATTTTTTTTTTCCCCCCCCATAAAGATGATACAGTAGTCCCTTGAAATACTAGAGGGAGACTGTGAACTTGATATCTGTTTGTATAAAACAGAACAAAACAAACAACCCAAATCAAAGTTGTTTTTGTTTAATGTCAGAGGGGTGTTTGGGTTTTTCTTCTTGTTCGGTTTGAGAGGTGTTTTCTTGTGTCTTCTGCTCTTGTGGGGAACACTGTAACTGGTGGGAAATTTATATAGCTTTAAGTTACGTGACCCAGAGAGACACATAATACAGAATGAATTTTTTTCTTTTCATCATCTGTAGTAATGTTAGATTTTGTAACAGCAGTACATAAAGATGTTATGATTTTTGAGAGAGATGTTGTGATGATGTATTTCAAAATATTTTCAGCCTTATGCTCTGCTTTAGAATAAATATAAATAACAGGAGTGTAATTTTTTTTTATCATTTAAGTCCTGTTCTTTTGGTGTATGCCAGTATAAGTTAGCTGCTTTAATATGTCAATAGGAAGATGACAAACTGCATGGAAAACTTGTGAGATTACCCTCTTTGGTAAGAATCTAAGGCACATTCCATTTTTGCACATTGCTGTAGACTGATCAGTTACTGAAAATATAACCTAACCCAGGTTTTTAGAAGTCCTTGGTGTACTTGCATGCTTCTCACAGTACCTCACTAATTCATGTTCAGAAAGCTGTTTTGTTTAGGTATTTTAAATACTAAAAATACAATGAAGTATTTTTGTAATAATCATGATGGTACTCCATGTGGAATAATCCCATTTGAATTTTTTTTTTTTTTTTTTTTAGTTTACACTATTTCTGAGCCTGTTTTTCATGGTTTGATACCTAAGCCTTGCACTTAGATTGTTTCTCAGTTATTGATACTGGATACAATGTTCACTGGTACCAGATAAACTAGTTAGTGTTTTCTTCTATATGGATATATTAATTAAAGATAAATATAAATAAAATAGATTTAATGTTAAGAATTAGCACCAGAAAGGCATAACATTGAAATATGGAAAGAAAGTATTGAAATATGTAGTTGTCTCAAAACATGCAAATAATTAAGCTCAAATTGATAACTGCTTGTGACTAATGCAGTTATTCATTAAAAGTAGAATTGGATTCCTAGTTTGGAGATATTTTCCTGTCATATATGGAAATAATAAAAAATGGGTTTCATTAAATAGTATTCTATGTGATGATAGGATCTATAATTACTGAAGAAAAATACAGGTTCAGGCCTGGAGAGGTGAATCCCCCTCATCTGTCGAGACTATGGCCTGAACATGGTTCTGTGGGCAACAGATTGTGTCTCCATTGTGGATAAAAAAGAATGGCCTTAAGACAGTAAGCATGCAGTAATTCTAAAAGTCATAGCCTTTGGCTGGAATCCTCTGGGAACGTGACCACCAGTAAGTTTTTTTTTTGCTTTTTTTTTTAGGATATCAGGTGTTTTTTAAAAACCAAAGAAAACCTGATTAAAGTCTTTCTGCATCACATGGCTCTTCAGATTGTTGTTGGTATTCTTGTTGACCTTTTACAAAAAGTAACTATGTTCTATGTTTGCAAATTTTTTACTTAAAATCATATTACTTGTATAGCTTTATCTTTAAAAAACTTCTCTTCCCCCCCACTGAAAGAGGTTCATGGAACAAGGACCAACCATAGGCAAGGGTCAGCTTTTGCTAGGCTTCCAAAGCTGCAAAGCTCAGAATGTTCTCAAAATTGACGGGTAAAAGTCTTGGAACTTCAGCAGACATACAGCGAGACTCTTGGGTTGTATCTCCTATGTTGTCCTTAGAAAAAGCAAACTGAAGTTAAAGGTAAGCTTGAATTGTTTCCCTAACTATGTCAGAGGTCAGATTTAAATGCTTTGTATCTCTGTTTGCTACAGTTCTCCTGGAATGGAATTGCCGAACTTTCATTACTTCAGACAAGATTGTTGCTTATATCTAGAAGCAGGGGGAAAAAAAAAAAAAAGGAAACGGCTAAATATTGCTAAATGTTTGATATTACTGAAAAAAAAAATATAACCTGTGTGTTGTTTTTTTTTTTTTTTTCTTTTTCCTAGCATGTTCAGAGTTTTCCCAGAAGTCCTGTGAAGAATGTTTAAAAAATGTTTCAGTAAGTTTTTTAACATCCTTTTTTGATTGGGAATTTGGTAGATATTTTTTCCCCTTGGTGTGAAATCAAATTGCTACAGTTTGGTTGGTTGGGGGGGGGTTTGACTTGTCTTTAATCGTGAATCTAGTCAAACTGCCCATAGGAAGAGGAAGTCAAGATCAGTTAGTTGTAATATCTGTTCTTATTTAACTGGCGGAGTCAACTTCCCCTCTGTCACACTCGATGCCAGTGTGCTTTTACTTTGCCAAGGTTGCTCTGTGACTTGGTTGCTCAGGGTATTTTTCTGCTTTGTCCAGTTTTGGTGTGTTCAGTACTTTCAATAGTTCAACTGAGCCGGTTGACATTGCTGCTGGTTTAGACTCATCCTTGTTTTGCAAACAGCACTTAATTCCATCTTATAAAAGGGTCAGACTGAATGTTAATGTGGCTAAAATGCCTTGCATTGCTTGCATGCTGAATAGGAGATTTGGGAATTTAAAGTAAATTACCTAGAAATGCCTTTCTCTGGAGATGCCCCAGGCAATGTGTTTAACTGAGGCAGATGGATCAGTGATTAGGAGATGTTCAGACCTGTTGGCCTTTCCACTGACTACATCAGACTGTAAATGCTTAAGACTGCCATGTGAGGTCACTGTTTTGGCGGCAAAGTCTTTAGATTTCCAGTGAGACTGCAATAAGGCAGATGTTTAAAGCAACAGGATTTATTTCTCCGTCCTTTGTTGAAAACCTTTTTAGCTCTACAGGAAGGTTTGCAATAACTGTGCATAAGGTGTCTGTCCCGGCAGAGCAGAAGGAACTCCCATATTTAAAGTGAGAGATTGTTTGTAACTTCAGATGTCACTGAAAAGAAACATTTCATGAATCTTTAAGTTACGTAAGTTATTGCAAAACTTTTATCACTGGGGAAAATTGAGAAATATCTGAACTTAACTTTTTTTTATGCTTATGCATATTTTGGCTTTTTAAGGGAAAAACATGAATTGGTTTGTATTGATGTGGTTATTGTGTGTTGTCAGACTTGTATATTAGTTGTCGTAAGCATGGCGTTGTGTAAATAACTCTTAATCTTCCAAAATATAAAGTAGGAAATAGAAAGTATGGGACATTAAAGATTTAATATACAGCACTACCACTGGTGTGACTGTCACTTCAAATAAGTGCTGCCACAGAACATGAGTACAGCTTTTACTTACCTTAGAACTATGTGTTCACCTTGTGAGAGAAATAAATCCTTTAGCTGTGTTTGTATACTGAAGACACTAGTGGAGTTATAGATACATTATTTTCAGAATCTGTCAAACCAGTGATAGTGTCCAAGCTTTTCTGGGTGACAGAATGATGGATGACTCAGGGTAACTGCCTCAATAGCATCAGTGTTAAGCTTGGAGAAAGGAGTTCAGACTTGATTCAGACAATTAAAGAAAAACAAAAAAACCAAAAAAACCTACAGAACAAAGCCATGAACATTTACGTGAGCAACACAAAAGCACCAGAAAGCTGAAATTACTTAATTGCTTCAGTAGGAAAAAAAAAATCAGGTTTTCATATTGTTGTTAATATAGCAGCAGATAAAAATGAGAATGAAACATTTAGTGAATAGATAAAACCAGCTCCAAACAAACCCTAAAATGTAGTAATTTAGTTCACTTAAATAGAATTATAATTTGAAATCATGTAGGAAATTATATGATGAAGAAATATAGCTAATTTTGTGAAGGAAAACTGGGAATAAAACACTTGTGTACACCTATGTGATTATAGAGGAAAAAGTATTTATTCTGTGTTCATGGAGACAAACCAGGAGATACTTACACTGTCTATGCTTTGGTAGTTCAGAAAAGTTTATTTGCCAGTTTTCCCCTGGGGCTTGACCTTGCTTTACCTCCCCCTGGGGTGTCTTCCTTACTGTTTTAGAGTTATTAACACAGCATAGGTAACATTGATGCACTATTATATTTGCCATTGTCTGCATGTGAGGACCTATGGCCTATCGACCAAGGCTAGCAGCCATCACATTGGCTCCCATATGTCATTCATTGTGAGCTCTCTTCAGTGCCTCTCTTCATTAGAGTGGTGATCAACACTTCCTTTTCTTTGGTGATCTACCACCCATCTGATGATTTAACAGATTCCAGCTGCTGGGCCAATTTGTTGTCACTTTCTATACAATCTGGAGGTTCCCATTCTACTTTTCCTGTGGGACTGAGAGCTCCAATAAGTTGCTCTGCCCTTGCCACCCTCTTAGCTGATTCATTGGCCTTTCAGTTTCCTTTTATTACCTCTGTCTGTCTGTTCTGGTGAGTTTCACAGTATATAATTGCAACTTCTTTAGGCTTCCGTGCAGCTTGTAATAAATCTAAACTTTCATGTCTGTATTTGATAGGGGATGCTTGTGATAACAGTTTTCATTATTTCTCAGTAGCCCCGTGGGTATGGACTACACCAAAGGCATATTTTGAGTCAGCATAAATATTTACACATTTTGTGTGCTGATAATTCAAGAGCATGTGTCAGAGCTATTGATTCAGACTTTTGCGCCAAGTTGTTAGAAGGCAGTGCTCAGGTTTCCACATCCTTGTGCAGCATCATTGTGGCATATCCAGCTCTCTTTTCTTCATTTATCATAAAATCATTTCCATCCGTATATAATTTCAGGTCTGCATGGGTTACAGGCGTATCCCTCAAATAAGGCTGGCTGGAATGCACTTATTCATGACTTGTAAACAATCATGCTAGGATTCTTTTTTGCTAGCATGTAATATACCTGGAGGAATCAGGGCCAGTGATGTCAAAATCACAAAATCTTGTGTGATAAGCACTGCCTGGTTATTGAGCTAATCTGATAGGTGAAATCCAGTGATGTCCGTTTTGATCAAAACCTGCCAGCACTGCATGCAGTACGACTACTGTGATAGACTGTCACAATGTTACCTTCTGGGCTACTTTCATTAGCAGCACCACAGCCACTGCTCTGAAACAGGTCAGCCATCTGTTGCCTAGTTCATCCATTTGTTTAGAAAAAATATGTTACTGGCCTCTTATTTGATCCCCAAGTCTGAGTTAACATTCCCAGAGCCATGTGTTGCTGCTCTTGTGTGTATAAAAAGAAAGATTTCATCATATTGGGCAGTTCCAGGGCTGGAGCTTTCACTAATGCAATCTTAAGGCTGTGGAAACTTTTTTGGCACTCTGGGAAGCGCGTTAGGATTTCTTCAGGATAATGGTTTGACCATTAGGCTAAAATTGACTAGATTCTGCACCAGCCTGCATTTCCCAAGACGTCTTTCAGTTCCTTTCTTGACTTGGGAGGGGTGCTATATGGCTTTTTTTCCATCTGTGCTCAGTGTCGAAGTTCCTTGGGAAATCTCAAAACCCAAATAGGTAACCTCTTTCTTCACCAACAGAGTGTTTTTCGGTGCCACATGTTACCCAGTCAATCCCAGAAAGTTGAGCAAATCTATTGTAGTTGCTCTGCATTCTGCTTCTGTTCTGGCCCACAGCAACAGATCATTCACATATTGTAACAAGGTAACAGAATGGTTCTGTCTTGCCATTATTCTAATTACTTGGCTAGTACATTACCAAACAGGGTTGGACTATTCTTGGGGCAGCACAGTCCAGCAGAATTGCACTTTTCTTCCAGTGGCTGGACTTTCCCTTTCAAAGGTGATTGTCTGGCTATTGTCTTCCAAAGGGATATGAAAGAAAGCATCTTTTAAGTCCAGAACTGTATAATGCTGATGATATTCAAGTAATGCTGATAACAGTGTATAGGGATTAGGCACCACCAGGTGTACATCAACTGTTATTTTACTAATTTCTCCTTAAGTTCTGGACTAACCCCTGAACTAACCAGTATTCTTGAGTTTGTGGCTTCCTTACTGGTAGTATGGGGTATTGTTCTCTGATTGGCATTTTTGTAACAAACCATACTGCATAAAGGTATTTATCAGGGTTCCAACCCCACCTTGGCCTCTGGATTTAAAGGGTACTGTTTCATTCTTACTGGCTGAGATTCTGCAATTAGATTTAACAGGTGCCACATTCTTTGCTCATTCCGGTGTCTTCAAAGCCCACACCAAGGGACTTGGAACATTCAAGATTTCATCTGAGATTCTATGGCTTCCTTCTTTCCTTCAGTCAGTAAGCACAGTTGGACTTTCCGTGTTGTTTTTTGTGGTGCATGCAGCTGAATAGACTTAACAGGGAAGGTCAGTTGAGCCTCTGGTTTGCATGACAACTCTTCTCCCAAAAGCAGTAAGGGGCATTCTGGCATATACAAAAATTCATGTACTAAAGTGGTATCTCCTATAGTGCACTCCATAGATTTGTTAAAAAAGTCTCAGTGTCTGCTTTCCCATGACTCTAGTGATTGGCATATGTAATTTACTTAAAGGTCCTTTACAGTTAGTCACTACTGAATAAGCAGTTCCTCTCTATATTAAAATATATCTTCACAGTGTTGTACTGTGTCAGGGGAAAGGAGCACTAAATTGTAAACTGGTTTTGAAGATGAATAATTTGGGTTGTTTTTTGTTTCTTTTGCACAGTGCCTTTGGTGTTACACCAACAACACGTGTATTGATTACCCTGTAAGAAGCATTCTTCCACCATCTTCATTATGTTCTCTCTCAAATGCTCGATGGGGAGTTTGCTGGAGTAGGTACTAATTTTACTTTTGCTGTAGAGAATGATTTAAGAGTATGATTAAAATAAGCCTACTGCTTCTAGGACTGTTTCCTGATAATTTATTTGGAGGGGTGAGGGGACAATGGTCTTTAATCTTCTGGATTTACAGTCATCGTTAAGGGTTCTTTGTGAACAGCCAGTATAGTTATGTTGGTCCAATGACTTTAAAACATTCACTATACAGTGAAGTTCTGTTGATAGTGAGGTGTAGGCTGGGAACAAGTGATGTTGGAATGTTCTGAGTATTTTATGCATGTAGTCAGGGTTCACCTGTTTCTTAATCCATACTTCTCAGTTACAGAGAAATAAGGTCATTCCCTGTTGACAAAAGGTGACTATTCTTTCTTTTTTAAAAAATTCTTCAAATATTGACTGGTATGACTGGGTCCACAATTTTTATAGTATATTCCAGTGGCAGCAGTGAACCAGTAGTACCGCATCATTTAATTGCTCTTAGATTTCCTTTTACTTTACATGTTGTGTTACAAAATACACTGTGGAGCACATGCTGCCATTGGGGTGAAATCTTTGGTGCTATTTTTGCAATACCATTTATGCAGATCTAAATTCGAACGAGGCTGGAATAGAGAACAAATAAGACATTGGAAAACTTGTCATAAGAGTATGTCTTCAGTCCAGCAAAGCAGAGGCTTGCTGTTTTCCATGTATTTGCTTATGAACACCAGGATGATAAACGGCAAAAACCAAGTGGGGGTGAATTGTCAGTGACCATTAACTATAAATTAGGAGAATGTTATCACACATAGAGCAGTGAAATTACACAGTAGTCTAAATTAGAGTATCAGGGGTAGAAGAGTGCTATTGAAATGGAGCATGCAAATTTGAATGCTACCACTTGTAGTCCCTGTTTGCAGGGATTATATGATTGGTAAAGTTCTCCTGTACTGTCCAGTCCTTTGCCCTTTAGTAGACGGGTGCTATGCTTTGTTCTGTAAGATAAAGCATTTATGCTTAGACTTCTGGAGTTTTCCTAGACCTTCAGAAGGTATAGCATTTCATTGATAAGGCATGCTTCTAAGGAAATCAGGCTTTCAATATTATAGTAAATGCTGTTGGTGTGAAATGTTAGAAAACTTCTTTCTGGAAGTGTGGTACCCACACAGTTGCTTGCTCACTCCCTCCCCTGACCCCAGTGGGGTGTGGGAAGAAAACAGAACAAAAGCAAGAAAACTCATGGATATTGAGGGAAAGGCAGTTTAATAGGGGAAGGAAAAAAGTAGGGGAAGGGGAAGTGCAAAGGAAATTGTTTACAACCTCCCACAGGTGGACTGGTGGCCAGCCAGTCCCTAAACAATAGTCACCTTGGAAGCCAAATACCACCTCCACTTATTTTTCCTTTAGCCAGAATTTTGTTGCTGATCATGGTATTATATGGTGTGGAATACTCCTTTGCCAGTTTGGGTCAGCTGTTCTTGCAGTGTCCCCTCCTGACCTCTCCAGTCTCTTGCCCCTAACTGCAGCCCTACTCACTGAGGGGGAGAAGAGAAAATCTTGATGCTCTTCAAGCCTGTTCAGCCACAGCTGAAACATAGGTGTTTTTTCAGCGCTGTTTTAGACAGAAATCCAAAGCATAGCATCATACCAGCTGCTATAGAGAAAATTAACTCAGCTACACTCAGTACAGAAATGCATGTCCTTTTGCAAAGCAGCAATGACCAGTATCTACCGAAACAAAGGGGGTTCCTGATAGTTTACTCCTGCTATAGAAAAGGAGGCTTCTACCTTGGGCTCCATTTGTGTTGCTGGGTTGAATGTGGCTTAAACACAGAATGAAAACTTCATAATTGAGCACATTCTAAGCAAAAAATTGAAGTGGAAAAAGAAAAAAAGACCCTTCAGAACCAAAACAACAACAACCCCCACCAGATCTGCATTTCCTTAATATATTTTTTACAAGTTATATGCAGCAGCATACCATGGGGATATATATATATTTGTACTGAGATTGTCCCCTTTGGACATGGCAGAAAAATTAATTACCAGATGAGTGCAGTAGTGGTGGCTTTTTCTTTTTGCAAATAAAATGGAGGTGAGTATTGGCTCAGTGTTGCTAAGATGAAGGTGAATATTGCAGCTTTCAGAAAACGTCAGAAACATGACTGGCTTCCAGTTACTATTTTATATCAAATAAGACATGTTGACAGATTATTAATCAGCAGTGAAGAAAAAAGAATGGTATGGAAACACCATAATGAAGTAGTTTAATTGTATTGTTTTTCATGAACACAGGAACACAGAAAATTGATAATCATCTTCGGCACTTTATTAATAGGGTCAAAGTATTTTTGTGGTTCAATTAAATAGTATACTTTAAAAAATGAAATGGCAATCAAACCTATTTTTCATTTTTACTTCATTGAATGAAGTTTATTTAATTGCTTATAACTTGTAGGGGAGTAGAAGAAGGAGAAATATGGCATAGTGAAATGTGTTACTTTCAGAATTGACATGTTCAGAATTGTGTGTTGTAACTAGAAACTATGTATTAACCTGTTTTATAAACTGGTACCCAGTAAACTATAAAACAGAAGCAAAAATATTTGTTGAGATCTAATCTGTAGCGAGATCTAATCTTTAACAAGATCTGTGAAGGACATGCCTTGGCCGGAAATGAGTTGGTGAGATCTGTAAAGAGGTAACAGACTCTTTGACTTGTGCATGTGATCAGAGAGGGCAGACCCTCTGAATCTCACTTGCTAAATTTGACTGTCTTATCACTATAGAGCCCTAAAGCAGTAAAAAGTATGTGCGCAGCTGCCTTTGTATTACTACAGCAGCATGAAGCTGCTGAATCTGACCATTCAGAGGGATTTATGTTGGAGAAGGGAGAAGAGACAGCTTCCCTGTCACTTCCCTCATGCTTTAAAATAGGTAGTGTGAGGTATGTGTGCCAAGAGGTGTTTAGTTTTTCTTACCACTGTTGTTACAACTTCCCTGGATGATTTCATTTTGTTCTTTGTTGGGTCCTTTAAATAGCTCCTCAGAGTTGTCTCTATAGCTTTGCTTATGTCATCCCTGTTTTCTTTCTTCTTGGGCCTCACTCGAGGACATGATTATTTTTTTATTATTTTTTCTTTTTTTAATAAATGCAGTCCCTTGAATGCTGGTTTAGACCAGCTATGGTTGTTATAGTGTATGCTATTAAAATAATACCCCCCCATCCATTTGTTAATTGCTTGTTGAACATAAAAGATGACACTCTTTGGATATAGAAGATGACTTATGAATTTTTATGAAGAGTTTTATATTGTCTCCTTCAAATTGTCTGATGTTGTAATCTTAATTTCATTTTACTCTGTGTAACTGTGGCAGGTAATGTGTATATATATACATCTGCATCTATATGACTTTACAAACTTTTTTTGTTCGTGCTGCACATTGGCTAAGGTCATGACTGGGAGGTCTGAACTGCGGAATCACACCAGTAGATATATAACCTATGAAGTATTATTACAGGATGACTTTTAATAACTTGGTATATATAAAGAGCAATTTTATGTAATGTCTCTTCAGTGCTGATTATGCATAGGAGCAAAATTAAAATGTGGTATGCTGAGCTTTAGCTGGGGTAGTTTCACAGAATTGTGGGTTTGACTTTTTTAATGCAGATATTTAAAATGCTTGGGAAAGAAGGGAAGGATTATTAGAAAGACAAATATTATTGCTGGAGTCTAACAAGTTGAATATATTCCTGTTTTTCAGTAAACTTTGAGGCTTTAATTATTGCCATAGCTGTGGTAGCTGGGCTCATTCTGGTGTCCGTAGCAGTCTGTTGCTGTTACTGCTGTTACTGCAGAAGGCGTTCCAGGAGGTAAATACATATATTTGTTTCCTTTACTAACTGCGGGTACTGGTCTTCCTTAACTACCTACAAGATTTACTCTCAAATATGCAAAGAATCTTTTAATTTGGAAGTGACTGAAAGACCGAAGTGACAGTTTTGGTCACTTTGCTTTATTTGAGAAAACAAAAAAGGAGGTGTTTTCTGACAGGCAGTATGGCACTGAAAATGATGCTGAAATGACATTGAAGTGATGTTATTAGTGGTAGCATCATAGAAGTATGTTTTAAGTAAGCTATTGCTTTGTACTTCTACATTTTACATTTCCTTGTTATGATTGGGCATGAAATATTTCAGTAGCCAAATTAATACTTGCTTATTGTGATAACAGAACAAATTTCTTTCAAGGCAAGCTCATGATAGAGCAAAAAGGGACCACGTAGATAATAAGTAACTGAGCTACAGTGCCCTACAGCACTTGGTATCCATGCTTCAGAGTTTGCTCTAGGATCTGTCAGCACACAGTCAGTATCTAAGTGATTAGCTGTCTTTGCCAAAGACAGATATTCGACAAAATAAATGTAAGATGATGCTTTTCTGCTCCAAGATACTAAGAGTGATGTTACTTATTTTAAAGGAAAGTAATACTGCAAAAATTTAAAGTTCTTTAGATCTTGGAGGACTTGTAAAACTTTTTGTTTAACTGGCTTCTCTATTGGCCAGTATTGTTCAGATGTACAGAAGTAGTTGATGACTAGCTAAAACAGGTAAGTCAGTGCTGCCATGTGAAGTGTTCAGTGCTTATTAATGAAGCACTTGGAAAGCTTTGTTTACTGTGACAGCACAATATGCTTCCTTCTATCGTTGAAGTTTTAGAGCTCAGGTTTCTGGGCAGTGTAATTTCAGCTAGCTCTGTTCCTTTAGTTTGGTACTTCTTATGTGAACAAAAATTTGGGCCTTATGTCTTGATCTGAAATAATTTCTATACTATTTCCCGTACCTATAATTCATTGGTTTTGTATGAGGGTTGTTTGTTTTTTAAAGAACTGATGCAGCTGTACAGTAATTAGGGCTCATCTTCAAGCCAGATGAATATGGTACATCTGTAGCTTTAAAGAAAGGAGAAAATAATTGTAAATACCATGTTATTCCGCTCGCTCTTCCTTGAGGAAGATGAAGCACTTGTTCTGCTGGTAGACTGGTCTACCAAATCTTTCCTAGTACCGGAATTGATAACTCTTTAGCCCTGTACTGATAAGCCCTGAAGATGTATAGAGCTGTTTTAGATTTTGTGGAAGATCGGCTAATGTCCTCTGAAGAACTGAGTACGCCCCTGTGGCTGACACGCCAACAAATAAAGCTTGATTCCTGTGAAAAGAGATATTTGTGCCAGACTTCGGTTTTAGTAGCTAAGTCGTCAATCAGTACTGTAACATCTAATTCTAAAAATAGAGAGTTAGTTGAGAGTCATCTTATGGCAGGATCCTAAAGTGTCAAGCTTAATCTTCTGATACTTAAAGGATTTAAAGGTCTTGTCAGAGTGGGGTCCAGCTTATTTCAGGAGGTTTCAGAATGTGTTATTACACTGAAGCCTGATATATTATTGACTTTAAACCCACTGATTCTCAGCAGGAATTCTTCTGCTCTCTGCTTCCCCAGTTTTTGGACTCCTTTTCCGCAAGTTTTGTTGGTTTTGGTTGGGTTTTTTTTTTGTTTTTTTCCCTCCTCCCAGAACTATCAGTATTCCTTCTAGGAATTTTTAATCTGTGGAGTTTCAGTGTTTGAGAAGCCAGCACTAATCTTTTCCTTAAGGACAAAGAAGACTTAGGTATATTAATCCCCACATCAGAAATGTAGCTGGCTCACCTAAGTCCATCCCTACCACAGGAATTCTAGGACAATTGGTGCATTATTTCAGTTCATTATTTTCATCCTATATTTGGACTTTGAGTCTGGCTCCATGTACTTGAGGTATAACTACTTGTGGGACTATATAAAGTAGATTCCCTTTACCTTCTTCAGTTTAAGAGCTGCTTTTTTATTTGTATAATATCAGATTTCCTGACTCTTTAAGAAAAACTTAATTCCTTCAAAGTGTCTAGATATCAAAAGAGATTAAATGCTTTTTTTTTTTTTTTTTAATTATAGGGAAGTAATATATTTTCTGAGTCCTACACCAGCATTCTATTTATTTGATGTTTTTATATTTTGTAACACCAATGTGAAGTGAGACTATTGCATAGTTACAAGACACTTGGGTCTCTAATAAAATAGTCTTGGAGAAGGGTGCCCAGAAAATGGGAGCTTCTGGTCTTCCTGGACGTGCAAATGTGGGGAATTGGTTAGTTTTCCAAAAGGGCCTAACGTTGTTTTCCAGTAAAGCTAACCTGTTGCATGCTTTTCCTGCTGCTAAACTCCCCCAAGATTTTTGTAATTCTTTATGTGGAAACAAAAAAGGAGGAACTGTATTTTTTTTTTTTAATGTGAAACATTACATGGTTTCTGAATTACTGGCCTGTATTTAAATGACAGAGATGTTCAAAGAGATTTATGCCTGAGAAGGCGGAAAATTTGAGTTCAGATTTCCAATCTGGTGTCTGTGAATTCTGTTAAAACATTTGACTGCTGCAATTAGCCACTGGATGTCACTCTTGCTTAACTTGTATGTAGGTTGGTGCAGTTACAACTGTTCACTTCCCTTTTAGCAGTTACATCAATATTGTAAATATTCGTATTGAAAAATCTTCAGATAATGCTTTCAGTTTTGAAAAATGCTTGGTACTTGGGAAGCATGGCAGGTGCCTATTCACTATATCTGAATAACTGTCATTAATTCTATCAGAAAAAAATAATGAACAAATAAATACTGTTTAGCATTTGCTTTAAGAGTTCTACAATTCTTGTATGGTTTATCTGATGGTTAAGTGAAGCTGAGCTTTTTCCAAAGGTCACAGACCTTAAGTGCTTGCATTCAGTGAAGCATATCTGCACATGCATAGCTCAGCTGTACTATGTAGGCTCAGCGTTTCCCAGAATCACTCAGCTGATGCACTCAGGTAAATCTTTGCTCATTCCAGAACAAGGAAGCCAGCTGCTAAGAGAGTTCATGTAAACTGCTTTCCTCAGGGCAGATGGAGATTGGATAGTGATGGGTGTTGGAAAGATAAATTGTTCTGGCATCAAAGGCTTATGAACCATCAATCTTATTCCAGGGGCAACAATGGACTTAATTGTGCATGTGCAGGACACTTAGTCTGAAATGGGGTGTGACACGTGGGGAAAATGACAAGTAGGAATCCTGCTTCTGGAACAGTCTACAACCTGTTCCTAAGAAGTATTAAATTGTCCTGTGGAGGCTGAAGGGTACATTATTACAGCGAGTGAAGCATCTTGGTATTGTAAAATGTGAAAGGGTAATTCAAAAAACTTGTCAGTTATACTTATTCAGCAATTACAGTTTACATGGCTGTGAAGAAGTATCTCAGAAGGTCAGACTATAAGTCATTTTCTCGAAATAAGTCAAATGAGTAAGTAGTGATTGCCTAGCAGTGAAATTGTTTCTTCCTCCCTTTATGCTTTCCTTACTTCCTTATTTTTCTAGTGGACCAGATGAAGAAGAAGAACAGCTAGGTAGAAAGAGAGAGGAACGAAGATTACAGTCTCTTCAGAGGTAAGTCTTGCCAGCTTGATACATAGCTGTACACTTCCTGGTGATAGAGGAGTATTCTGCCCTTCTAGTGGAGTACTAACAAAGAGGCACTTTGGAGTTAGGCATGACAATGTCAGGTGTTTGCAAAACAGGACTTATTCTGAGCTTTGTGAACCTGACTAGGAGCCTGTATTTCCATAAGTGAACAGAGTGTTAGTAGGTTGATGGTCACTGTGGCAGGTACTACAAGTATGCTCTGACAGCCAAGAGCAAACAGGAGGGCTGTGTCTGAAGTCTTGCCTTGTCTCTCTTGGACTGGTGCCTGTTTGTGGCTTGAGTTAATGCCCAAGTGAGGCTGGGATTCAGACATGAAAACCACTTTCTTGATTATTTGGTAACCAAAGGTAGATAGAGAAGTTGATAGTGAGATACCTATTAGAAATTTTTCTCAGGAAATGGAAAACTTTGGCTCAGATCTCACTTTAGGATTAATTCCATGTTACCACCCTTTCTGTTAAAACTGTGTAGAAAGAAGTGCAAGAGTCAGCAGTAATACAGTACTTCTCAGTGAGAACGGTATTCCTTCAAATGCAGGTTTTTATAGCTTAGTTCTCCAGTGACTTTTCATGGTTTTTACATGTATTCTTTAGATAGCTAATTCTTATAGGTAGGACCATGACACCTAGTACAAGCCAGATGTACCTTTTGAATCATACTGCCTTTCATGATCTGTTATGGAGAGCCACAGTGGATTAGTTTCAGCAAGACACAAGTCTTAACCAAACTAATGCTAGGCTTGAAGCTGTCTGGTGCGGGTTTGAATCCCCATGGACTGGAAAGGTAATTGATCTTAGGTTTGCCATTTCCTGGTTATGTTCTCTAAATACATGCCTGCCAAGTAACAGGTGGGCACCTTCACTCTCTTGATGATACCTACTGTTTTCTCCTGATCCCAGATTAATTGTTAATATGAGCAGAGACTGCAGGGAGCAAAGCATACTTCCAGATGAGACCCTTGGTGGAGCTTTTGCATGAAGACATTGTTTTTCCATTACATAATGTGCATAGGAAGACAAAGCAGACAGGCAAACATGCTTGGTTTGCTCAAACATGGTATGTTCTGGCTGGGCAGAGAAGTGAGAGCCAGTAAGGTCTTTCTTAGAGATGTACCTACTGTCATTCATATCTCTGACCAGCAGGAGCTGGGAAAATTGCTCATCGTAGCTCCATGCAAATCTCTTTTCTGGTTCTGAACTGCCAGGTTATACAAGCAAATGCAGCAAATGTTTACCCTGAATCTAATAATGGTTATGGCTCTGAAGTAGACACTATGATACTCGGAAGCAGAATAGCTTAGATTGATGTGTGCTTTAGCCTTGTACAAAACCCCTAAACTTGTTAGCAATAAAAAGGATTAGAATGACATACAATGGGAATGTTTAATGAAGAATTTTTCAGAGCTTTGCTTAATGCAAAGCTTGAATGATTAGTTTTAGTTTTGTGATTTTGATTAGGTTTTTATTTTAGAGCTATTATATACTGTCAGTTTAATATATCTATTTCAGTTTTCTACTAGTTGTGTAGTAGAAAACAATTTAGTAGCATTTAAACCTACCAAATTGTCTTTATTCTGCACAAGTTTTCTTTTTAATGTAGTGTTGCAGTAATGTATATTCTGCATTTGTGCTTGTTTAGGAGAGTATGAGCTTAAAAGGAACTTTCTGCAGGGGGAAGATGAGGGCTAAATGTCTCCTGGCATAGTTGAGCTGAAATTTCTTTTTGAAAATGTGTATTTTTAGGTGTCACGATGCTACTAATTTAACCTGTTAGATTGTGTATTAAAAGCATTCTACTTCTGATGTAACTGTGAGCTGCTGATGCATTCTTTCATGCCCAATGCACAGCATTCCTTAACTCTGTTATGCCAAAATTTGTTTTGCAGAAAGCTGTTCACATTTCTGTAGGTTTTTTGTGTTTGGTTTTTTGTTTTTTTTTTTTTAATTCTGTTGGGTGACTTCAGTGAAGAGTCTTAGTATGTATCCATAAGGTTGCTTGGATCCACAGGGCGCAAGGACAGCATGAGTCCAGGTATATTCTCTGTGAAACAGAGAAACTGTTCTAATTGCAAGAGAGAGCTTAGCAGCAACCCCATGGTATTTCCTATATTCTGAACATGCATACCAATTGTGTGTGTGTCTGGGGGTTATGGGAAACCACGAGGAGTAAGCCACTTCCGGCAACCAGAACACCTCATCCAATCCACTGCTTGCTTCCTGTAAGTCCTTAAGAGGCTAGTAGTAGGCTATAGAAGAGATTAATAGTCTCAACAAGACATTTTTGATCAGCAAGCTGCAAACACTGTACTGTGTGGTCTTTCCTTTCTACAGCCTGCAAAGTTTTCACATAGTTTCTAAAAATAGCTTGATAGATGTTCAGATAAATAGCATGTAAATATAGGCACAGAATTGACCTTGCATCTCTCTGGGTTTTTCTTCTGTCTCTTTTTTTCCCCTGTGGGATACAGCTAGTTCATATATAGCTGTTCAGATCAGTTGGCAATGGAAGGAGAACAGTACTAGCCTGAGCTTGGTTTCCTGATTCCATTAGTGAATGGTAAAAAAGAAGTAAAGGAGTAAGCTTCAAGGTAATTGCAGCACCTAGTATTTTCTGGCTTTTCAGGTACACAGTAAAAGCCTACTTTTTAAGTTTAAAATTTGTTTATGTTAAAATTCAGTTTACTACAGATACTTGGGAAATGTCTTAGAATACCTAGATGGCTGTTAGAATGAAGAGTAAGGGTAGTGACACTGGCCCTCGTCTTCACAAGGACAAAACTAGCTGTCACTTCACTGAAAAGGTTGAAAATCACTGGTGACTACATGTAGAGTTTGCACTTGCAGTGGGGGGCAGGAGTGGAAGGAAACCTGGAGTTCAGGTTTTGACTAATACTGAAGGAAAAAGGGTATCTCAGAGCTTTACTTCTTTATTTGACTTCATGTCATTTCTAAAATGAAAAATCACTTTAAAACATAGCATTCAAGTAGTGAGTCTTTTCAGTACACTCAGTTATTTACAGCTGCAGATACATTGTACGTTTATATGTTAGATTCATGTAATTTATAAACCATGATTTATATGTTAGAAGTTTATAAACCAATGAAAGGCAGTGAAATTTTGAATGAGAGAAACTACTGAGAGTAAATCAGTAGTGTACTGGTAAGGAGAACAAGGAGCGGGGGGACAGGGAAAGAAAGGATTGCAGTTTATTTGTGAACTAAGTATGGAAAATTATGATGTGAATTGTTAGTTTTAGGAAAAATACTTTCAGTTTACAGCAGTGGGGACAACTTACATGAAGAGCCAAGAATTTAGCATATAGAAAATGAAATAATAGTAGTAGTATTAAGAAATAGAACCAGCCTGGACTGTAGAGTGACTTCAGTTGATCATAATGTAAGATGTGAATAGTGCAGTAAGCTGATTCAGTGACTACCTGTTCAAAATTGCATCTGACTCTTCTCAGTTGATGTATACCTAAGCCTTGTTGACTGTACAAGGATTTAGTCATGGCTGATGATGTTATTGTAGCTGCCTGACTGAGTTTGAATGTTTCATAAATATTACTGGTATTACACATCAAATGTAAACAACATAAGGATTGTAGATGTTTGGTGGTTTGTTTTGAATAGCTTAAGGAAGTATCCTGAAGTGTTAGAGGTTTAAAGCCTACACAGTGTGATAGTTCTCCACACTCTCTTATCCTCCTTACTTAGGGCTTTCTGTGTTCAGGGCAGATTCAGACTGACTGCTGGGGTTCTGAGATATTCTCAATTATTTCAGACCATGTATGCAAAACAGTGAAGAACATGACATTAGTAAGTAGCACTAGTAGAAAACCCGCATTGAGGTCACAGGACATAATATGGTAACTATACAGAAATAACGCCTGACTTTATACAGGAAAAGGCTGCTTTAAGCAGAATTTTGCCATTCTCTTCCTGAGATTATTGTCTCATATGTCTTCCTCTTATGCAACACAAGGCAGGAATCCTGTGATCAGGTTACCCTCAGCAGGTAAAGCTGGCTCCTTTTCTTCCTGTTCTCTTCAACCTCTCAGTCCTGACTTTCTTCGTCTACATGACCTTTCATTTAATCTCCTTGATTCCCCAGTTTCTCCTCCTCTTGCAGTTTGGCCAGGTTGCTTTGTTTCCTGTGCTGTCTGGGCTTAAATAGTGGGAAGGGATATAAGAGGAGGTATGTGTCTCAGGGAAATAGTAGTGGAAAGTTAGTTTTGCGTTGGTCTAGTTTGTTTTTCTCATCACGCTTTATCTGCATGCTTTCCAGAAGTCCCAGTTGCAGGGAAAGGCCATTTCAGACCTTTAGCTCTGTAGGAAGCATGATAATTGTTCCTGAGGACACACAGGATCTGATTAGCAGTAGGAATTGTTTGGAGGTGGAATGTGCATAGGGCAGATGGGATCTTCAGTGAATTAAGCTGTCAGTGCTTAACAGCTTTCTGCTGAATATGTGCAAATTAGGATCAGACAAAAGTCACAAGTTGTCTGACTGGGTTGAATTTTGATAGGGGCAACAGTGTACTTTTTTGTTAGAGGAGCATTATTTTGCCAAATTCTATGTTCTTTCCTCAAAATATATAGATCCTAGATCATCCTAGTGGAACAGTTGTGTAAGAGCTTATTTAGTTTGGTTTTGAACTAAGCAAAATAGATGCTTCCTTTGAAATGCAGGAAAATTATCTGAGGAATGATGGGACAATTTCATTTAGACTTCCTTCATTTTCTCCCCTTTGCAGAGGGGAAATGGGGAAGGGGAAGAAGGAACAGACTCATTTGCTTTGTGTGAATAATTAAAGTTTGGCAGTATTGGATTCAGTCTTGAAAACTATCTTATGGTTAGATAACATAAGTAGAGGCATCCAATTTTTATATTAGCAGTATATTTTAATTTATTCTCTGCATGGAGGTCATGCTGGATTTTTAGAAACTGTTAGTTTTCAGTTATACTTGCTGTACTGTTTAAACAAAACAGTAACATACCTTTCATCTCTTTAGAATTACTGTATTGAATTAGGATTGAAGGACACTGTACTCACAGTTAGGCTACCTGCTGCAGTGTGTTAGGGACTCTTCCAGTATTGCACTTTATGTATAGATGAATACTTCAGTGTGTGTATGTGTACATATATGTGGACATATTACTTTGGTATAGAAAAAACAGTATTTTCTTTGTGCTTGCAAGTATGTCTTATTCTTACATTGCTTAGTGAGAAGTTACAAGGAATCTTAAAGTATATGGAAAGATAAGATATATAACTGACAAATGTGATTAAGAAATTGTAATTGCATATTAATTTAAAAAATGCTGTCATCTCTTTCAGATGTAATTATATTTTACAGCTCAAAAGTTGAATATTTTTCTTATGCCTTTATTTATTGCAGGAAACATGAAAGAAAACTGAAGCATGATGAAATACGCAAGAAGTATGGTATGTGGTAATCTTGGGTTGTTACTCAGTATCTAAATTGACTCCTTTTTCCTAATTATTAAAATTCACAGCAGAAACAAGCTGCTTCATGAGCAGCAGAAGTAATCAAGCAGTTTCCTACTGATGCATATCTTCTGTCACCTGAACACCTGATCTCATCACTATTATGCTCCTGTTCTCTTCCCACACTGGCTCTCCCACTGGGAAAGAGACAACATGCTTGATGGGATGTTTGCTTGGGGTGGGCATTTAAATATATTAATTAAAATAAGTAGTTCTTTCTGTCTCTGCCTAAGTAAAAATACCAATTTGGGGTTTTATCTAGTTAAAACTGGCTAGTAGGTAGACTCATGTTTATTGAGGGAGGATAGAATGAGTAGCAGATAACAAGCTTTTTAAATCAAGCTTAAAGAAGGATGGAGGTTGCAGCCTAACATAGGGATTAAAGTTGTTGTTTTTTCTTTAAGTGGAGCTGTTGTCTGGTGGGAGAAGAATATCACAAGACTGCAGGACCTGCTGTGTTGTATAGGAGGCTTTATTACCTAGGCTTGTCAGTGCTTGCACTTTTCACTTGATTTGTTCATAGGGTTAATATTACTGTATATTCAGAGACAGATATGCTAAAACTATGCTGCACTTATTATGCAAATTGTGCTAATGTCAGAGAAGGTGATTCTAGGGGTCTGAACAGTCACTCAAAACTGTTAATTTTCATCCTCTTGTTAAACTGATTGGCAGAATCTGGGAATGCCTTGATGTATCTGCAGCCTGCCCTTTGGCTGCTGTACAAGTGATACAGACAATATCTATAGGGAATTCTCTGCGTGGTGAACATTTGCAAAAGTATGTCCCTTTGCTGGAATGGAGAAAAACTTCACTGTGAAGATTGAGCTGCAGGAGGAAGAATGTTGTGGAAACTAGAAGTAAATACTGTTAAAAATCAGGCATGAACTTCAGTCCTATGTTATTTTATAGGATAATTGACCCTGTATCCCAATCACAATTCAGTTTCAAGAGGTTTGAGAGGTTGACAACAGTAGTCCAGATTTAAAAACCCACAAATAATCCAAACAACATCATAACAACACAAGCCTTTTGTGTATGTTTCCCCTTTGACTCTAAGGTTTTTTCTATCTCAGCAAGTTTGAATCATTGGGCTAGATGTGAAGAACTGAAGACAATGGCTATATCTCCAAAATAACATGCAGCATTCTTTACAGATATGCACTATAACTTTGCATCTCCTTGAGGCAGTGCACCTAAGAGGAAGTGAACAGGTCCTGAATAAAGACAATTTTCAGTGCTTAACTTTCAGACCTTTGCAGAATGCTTTGTTGCATCTTCTTGGAATATTGATTTTCATGAGGAATTTCAATAGGAAGCTTCTATATAAAATTCATTTATTGAAATGTTTGCTTTATTGCATATGCAAAGATCTGTTTATATTGTCAGATATATCTATTTGAGGCCTGGATTATTATAAATCATTTTTGTCCTAAAGAGAAACTGAACAATTATGTGAATAGTTGGCACATCCTGAAAGGATGTATGTGACTGAGAAAAAAATGAAAGACAAAATATGTATAAATTCTGAAATCCCTAAATGTTATTGCTGATGTATATAGTTTATATTCTGATAACATGCAAACAAATGATTGTCAAAATAATTCAGTGAGATCTAGTATAGAGTAAGTCTTGCTACAGCCTTGGATCTTCAGTCTTCATTTTTCACTGTCTAGTAAATAAATATGTTACCATATTAAATTAAATTAATAAAATTTGCTGCAAATAATTATGGAGACACTAGATAATTTTACACTCTTGTGCACTGCAGAGAGGATTCTCAGTTAAGTAGGCATGGATGAGTGGCAGAAGGACAATGACTTTGTTAACCTGACTTAGTAGATTAAGATGATCTTGCCTGAAATTTCAGTATTTGGTTGGCTTTAAGGGAATGCCTTTTCCCATTTCATCCACCAGCCTTCTTTACCCCATTTAAATGGTAATTACACATTTATAATGCATTGCAGGTGTCACTCTAGCCACAGTCCTTTGGGAGCATTGGAAGCAATAGAGAGCTTTAGCAACCAGGAATATGCACTTTGAATTGTTTCTTTGTTGCACAATTTGATAGTATTTTTCATTTGCTCATATATATGAATGCAGTATGATTACACAAATTACATGTTGACTGTTAGAAAAATTTAAAGTAGAATTCAGAGTACTTTGCAGCTTGTGGAGTATACAAAGGATCTACAATTTAATTGCTGCTGCATTTGCTGCTATTGTATGTTCAGTATAGCATTAGTGAGAAGCTGCTTTATTTATTTCAGGATTGTGCCTGGTATTAGTGGAAAGATACTTTCTCTTAATTTTCACAAATTATTGCCTTTCATAATTTTGGGCTTCCACACCATTTGCTTCAGTTCTGCAAATGTTTTGATCAGCTAATTAATGATATGTAATCCTATCTCCTTTATTTTATGAGATGTTGATTTTTATATTCAGTAGTTTGTCACAGTAAATGTTCCTTCTATTCAAGATAGATACCTTGTCATGACCTTTTCTAGCGTTCTGAATGCAAAGCAGGAAAACCTTGTATTACTATGCACTGAAAGCTATATAGTTTGTTAAGAATGAAGTTGTTAATCTGAGGATTAAAAATAGGAAAAGTATAATAAGGGGGGAAGATATGCAACAAACTGGGGGGGCTTCAGCACATACAGTTTTTTGTGTTTCATGTATTCAATTTTTGGGCAGTGCTGGTATGTGGTGAGAGATCTTGATGACTGAGAAGCTGCATAGTTAGCATAGTATATGATACTGAATATGCTGGAAAGAGGTATTAATTTCTTAAAATTGCTTTATCATTTCACAAATTAATAAGCCTCATCACTTCATACAGGCAAATGAAAGATGCTTGACTACTATACCTTCCAAATTTTTAAGTTGCTTAAATACTAAGTAGGTCAAATACTAACCTCAAAAAGAAGGTAAATAGAAATAAAATGTTAAACTTCTTGTAAGTGCCCTGTGTGTCAGTAATAAAGTTCAGCAGTAATACGTAATGGACATTATGGCAAACAAGACTCCTGGAGCTACAAACATCTAGCTGCTCTGAACTCCTAAGTGTAATTACAAGTTGGGTAGTTGCTCTCATGTCAAATTGGAAACAGTTGAGAGAGACAACTCTTGTCTGGTTCAAGGCAATGCATGAGCTTTAGTTGAAGCAGACATGCTATCCAATTAGCATAGGCTTGCAGCTTCTCTTTGAGTGTCACGGTTAAGAGCAGCTGTGGCAGCTGACAGGAGCTTTTTGTCATGCTTCCTTTTTTATGTCTATCTAGATTGTTTTTGTCCACTTACTGGAGCCTAATACAGCTTCTTTGGTAAGAACTGGTGCAAGAGATGAGCTGCTGTCTCTCTTCTCTCGCATAATGTAATCTTGTGAGGTACTTAGAATGCTGATAAAAGAAATTGAATCACTGGATGCATATTTGAGAGCAAAACTAAGAGCAAGGTCTGTCAGACATTGTTACTCTGTGGCTGTCTTTGTTTGCAAGGAGACTTTGCCTTTTCTTTTGGAGTACCTTCTTTCCTGGGAAATTAATTTTTTGAAGTCATGATCACACTGGATTGACCCACAGTTCTTAAGTCCTGTTTAGTTTCAGTGTTGCGCAATAAAACAGATCAGAGAAATTTTAAGTTAACCATACTAATGTCTCACTGGTGATAATTATATCTATTTATCCTAAACATAATTCATTAAAATTAAAGCAAGTATGACTGGTAATGACATTTGCAATAATGAGTAAAAATGACACATTCACTTGAAATATGAGGATTAGTTATCTAAAATGGGTTTGGGCTGAATATTTTGGGGAAGAGGTGGTTAAAAGTATATTTGCTCCTGAGAGCGGCATAGGAAAAGTTTATCAGGAGTCTTACACCATCCTCTGATAAATTTGAAATAGGCACTACTGGGTGTAGACCATTGTTTCTATTTGATTTCAGCTGTTTAAGGTGTAAGAGGAGGGTGTCTACTGTTTCACTGTGCTAGTTTCAGAGCTGTGAAGTGTCAGGTATGTATCTTGAATTAATATAATAAAGACATAATGAGCACTTGCCAGACTATAGAGAGAGAAGTCCGCAACCTAAGTTAATTTTGGCAGGGAACCTGGTACATCTTGCTACTTTGGGAAATTTTTTTAGTTTGGTGCCTTCATTTCTAAGTGAAACTTAGAAATGTGCAGAGAGTTTTTGCAATGTCAATTGTAATAAAAATACATTAATTTCTAATACTGTTACTGTGTTCTGTAAATGTTGTATAGATGTGTTTTGTATTTGGGATGGGTGAAATACAGAAGTACTGCAAGAATTTTTGAAAGTTGGGCTATTCACTTGTCTTTCAGGTAACTAAATATATTAGGATCCATAGATCCTAGCTGCCAAAGTATTAATATGTTTGGAGGAAGGAGGGTGTAGTGGTCTGGAAATAAAGCAAATGTTTCTTCTCTGTATTTGGATGGGGGTTATATTAATGTAGGAATGTTACCTGAAGGCACTAAAGGTTGAATGTATGCTGAGGATAAAGGCTTTTTTGTGTGTGTTACCTTACCTGTCAGCTAAAGTTGATTTAACAGGCATTAAACTCTTTGTTTAAACACGAGAGGTAAGATTAAAACTTGAGAAGTAACTGCTTTCTGAGATTTTAAAAGTATGAAAATCTCAAGATCTCAAAATATTGCAGGCGATTTTTGACAATGCTGTCATCTAGCCATATTCTTATTGCTCAAATGCTTAAGAGATTTTAATTCTGTTTTAAAGCAGTTACAGGAAGGGGTAGTACCTTTGATGCAAGGTACTATGCCACAGTATTAAATAGACTGTATTTAATGTTCCCTGGTTGAAGCTTTATAAATGTGACTGGCTTACCCCTTCTTTGACAAATAAGGGCCATTACATATGAGCTCTGTTTTTTAACTTTTTACAAATTGACTGCTTCTAATCTTGTGAATTTGAGTATTTGTACTCAAATTGAATATTATAGGATTTTTCATAATTATTCCTTAATATTTGCCGTTCCCTGTCAGGTAGCTAGTTGCAGTTACTGATACAACAATCAGCACTAAGCAGTCGTGCTTCTTGATTGACATCCTGAAATCCCCTGGCAGTTCAGAAGTTTAACAGGGTAAGCACAGGTATAGTCTTTCAGTGCCATTAGCTTTTGACTTTCAGATAAACAGTGAATGTTCAATATCTGTGTACAGATGCATGTGGAAAAGAGGTATGGTGCAAAAAGGTCTGAGGGGAATTCTTACAAGATTTGTCAGTGACTAGTGTTATCTTTCTCTTCCACTGTTGTGAATCTGAATATTTGTGTATTGGGGTTGTTTGGCTTAGCTGTTTCCTGTCTCTGTGTTCTAAACAAATGAGCTAGAGAACAGTCCAACCATCACTGTAAAGATCATGGTAGAAAAGATAGTGGTAGTGTTCGTGCTCTTTCACAACAAAAGGTTGGCCTCTGTGCTCTTATGGGACTCCCTTATTTTCAGTATGCACTTGTGCCTAGCCCAAATGTGGTTTAAAGTCTCTTTGAAATAATTGCTGTATGGAAGAGTGATTACTTAACTAGCTCTTACAGGAGATGCTATGCGTTATCAGACACTCAGCATAATTGGATGGCTTTGTGATGCTTTCTGTAACAGTATTCCAGTAAAGTCATTAAGAATCTTCACGATGGAAACATACTGCAACTTGGATTAAGTGATGCTCTTATTCTTGTCCTCAGAGGTTTCAGTGCATATAAAAGTGGTCTTCATTTGTTCTTAAAGATTATTGTCCTGTTGCAGAAATGGTGTAGGTGGCTAAACATGACAGATGTCTGTGTATAATCAAGGTACAGCTAAGTCAAAGTAGCAGCATCTTATATTTTAAAAGGATGATGATCTTACAGTCACTTGAATTTATAAATTGGCCAGTCTGAATCTGTTCTTTCTGAGCCATCTTTATGCTTAGATTTTTGTAGACTTGACTCTCACAAATGCATTTTGCATTTCTCACAAATGAGAAATGTTTTTTCTTCAAGAATTTTTCATAGAGAAATGTTCTCTCCCTGCTAAATCATGAAAGACCGATTAGTTATTATAGGCTAAGAAATGAGAGTGCTTAAGAAAGCTTTCAATTTATTATTATACTTGAGTGTTTGTGTAATAGAGCAATTACTACAAGACAAGAATTGCTTTTTGGTTTTGTTGTATGGAGTACCTATTACAGTGAAGGTTTCTATGTAATACTGGTAAGAAAATGATCAATGCAGTCTTGTTTTGTATTACAGGTCTTCTCCAGGATTCTGATAATCCATACAGCAGATTTGAGAATGAATAAAGCTGAGCACCTTCCACTAGAGCTGTACCTCCAGAAGAGCTGTACCTCCAGAATGCCGGAAGATAATTTGTTTTCTTTTGCCTTTTGGGCTTTCTTTTGCTTTTTTTTCCCCCAGAAAATGTCATTTGGTTTTCTTTTTTTTTTTTTTTGTTTTGTTTTGGGTTTGTTTCCCGGTTGTAAAACCAGGGTTGGATAAAGACTTCATGAAATACATGTTTCTGTCTTCTATCTATGTAGAACTAATATTTTTATAAATGCTTTGGTTGTTGAAATGTTGGCTGATTATTTTTTTTTTCCTTTATGGTGATGTTTAAGTGTGAAATACTATTTTTCCTCCTCTTAAAACTATATTTTATTACTTGATGTAGATAGCTGATAGGCACAATCACATGCTTGCATTCAGTCTTAACTGCCACTTAAAACACTTGTTGCCATGTTCCTAATATTTCCCTACTGTATCTTTTATTTTTATGAAAAAAGGCAATATGGAAGCACAGCTTCACGCAGCAGAAATAGCTGTTGTTGATATTGATGAGAAAATATACCAGGCACATTCTTCTGTGCTACCATAATGTGAGAATGCGATGGAGGTTTTTTTCCCCCTCTGGAAAAAGTTCTTCAAGAGTGTAATGTCTAAGGGTTGAGAGAGGGGAGCATATTTGTCTCTGAATTTTTCAAATTCAGTTGTAGAAATACTAATACATAATGATGTGAAAAAGAAATTCCTGTAGTTAGCAAAATTGGAAGAAGGTCACTCTTGAAATAAGCATAGTTATGTGTGCCTGAATTCAAGCAGAAGCATCAGTCTGTGTGAACACTTTCTTTCTTCAGTAAGCTTAATATATAATTAACCAAAAAAAATGTTGCCAGATTCTGCATTTAACCAGGGTTAACCCTGGCCACCCTGGCTGAGCACCACCCAGCTGCTTGCTCCCTCCCTCCACTGGGATGAGGGAGAGAATGGGAACAGTGAAAGTGAGAAAACTCTTGGACTGAGGTAAAGACAGTTTAATAAGGGAAGAAAAGGATAGGAGGAACAAGGCAGTCACCACCTTCCAGATGTAGGCCTCTGCCTCCCCTGCCATCAATTTTTGTTGCTGAGCAAGATGATCTGTAGCCTGGAATCTGTCTTTGGTCAGTTCTGGCCATCTGTCCCAGCTGTGTCCCCTCCCAGCTCATTGCCTACTTGCTGGAGCAGGCACAGTAGGAACAATGAAACATCGATGCTGTGCAAGCACTGCTCAGCAAAAGCCAAAGCATTGGTGTGTTATCTGCACTATTCTAGCCACATATCCAAAGCAAAGCAGCGTACAGGCTGCTATGCAGAAAGTTACCTCCATCCCACCCAGACCCAGTACAGTAGGAAAGCAGTATTTTTGTAACCTTTCATTTTTTTTGATATTTCCGTAATGTGATTTATTTCCTGTCTTTCTTTTCATAGAGATGGTTAATTGAGCCATGTTAGTAGCTTACCAGTATGACACAACAAGCAAAGAGCTTTTCTCCATCTTCAGTGCAAGTTCCCATTTATTCTGTACACTTTAAATAACCTTCCTTGCTGTATATTATCCATTGAAAAAATGTACAATATTGAAGATGTTAATGTTATTTTTATCAACATTCCTAAAATAAATATTTAACATGTTAATTTGCTTCTGATCAGTTCTGTTGTTCCATAGAATTTTAAATTAACTTGGTTTAAAAGTGATCAAATATGAGTTTGGGAGAAGGAAAAGGCTTCACTTTTGGTGTTTCTTCTGACAGAAGAATAAAATCTTAACAGCACAAAGGTATGATGGGAATTAAATTTTGTCTGTGGGTGCTGAGGTGAGCTGCTATTCCTTTCCAGTGCCAATGAACCTGCCACCACTTTGGCTTCAATAACTATGGCTTTTCACTGCTTTTGGGGCAGCGTTTGCTTCCATTCTTTTACTGCTTTCAAACTTCTGTAAACAGTTTGTCAGGATTTAACATAAAAATGGTTCCCAGTTCCTGGATCTGTATTGTAATTAGTGGAATAATGGTCCAGTTTTCTTTTTTGTCTTTTTTTTTCCTCAACTCATATTTAGCACTTTATTAGTAGGCACTGTGTTTAATTTTGTATGTTTCTTCATCTGCCAGCTATTGTCAAGACTGAAGTATTATTCAAATGGCTGTCTTTGAAGAATGATGTTCTGTGATAAGAGTTGATAGTGTGGAAATAAAACATGCTGATGGTTTTCCCTGGAGGTAACTTTTGCAAAAATGATGAAGGTCTGCCTGCTGTCTCACAACCCGAGTAGTGACATTCCTGAGTTAATAAAAAAGCATTTTTCTTCAGCACCTGCTACAGTATATGAAGGGCTGTCACATATTCAGACAAAAGAGGGGGAGGGACAACCTTTCTTACGATTTCAAAGGTAGTAAAGTACTTGGAGAACCAAGTTATTTTGAGACTATGAAATGGGTGCTACATTGCTGGAGAGCAGTTGTGTTACATTTAAGGAAGGTTGAGTGAAATCCATGAATTTTAGCCACTGTGTTAGCTTGTCCTTCCAGAAGTCATGGTTGCAGGTAACAAAAGATACCTGCAATTATGGTCAAATTTATCTTGACCAGACCTTCCATATACTAAGCTTTTAACTTTATAGTGTAGGCCGTAATTTATACCAAATGCCAAGTTGGACGTCTGTTACCGTGTAATTTTGCTTCCACAGTTAACACCTTAATTTCATGACACTACTGTGGACAGCAGCCTTAAAGCTTAATAGAAAATACAAAAATCCCCAAACAATCCCCAGACTTTTCAGATTATTTAACCTTTTTTTTCCTGTGTTCAATGAAGCAGTTAATTGGGTTGAAAATATCCTTATTTCAGTATATTAACTGCAGCCTTCTTTGCTTTCCTGTACATCAGTCTGTCTGTCTTTTACAGAAATACAGGATTTGGCTTATCAGTAGAAAGGTTCCTAGTCTCTGTATTTCAGTGTAGCCACAAGTAATTGGCAAAACAGCTGCAGGGAGAAGTAGCATCATACCTTTCATTCTCACGTATGTTAACAAAGGTATTTATCCATTTCAGTATGAGCTTCCCTTCTTCCATGCTTTGTCAACAAAAGAGAGAAAAGGGATGCAGCCTATGAACAAAATGAAAGAACGGGAATACAGCACAACCTGAGCCTGAGATGCATAATGCCTCTGTTAGTCTGTTTTTCTCAGACTTGACCTTCATGCACGCTCTATTCTCTCTTTCGTCTGTCTTTACGCTTTTTATTTTAGTGGGTTTTGCTTGTTAATTTTAGTGGTGAACACACTACTCTGTAAAGAGCAATCTCAGAAATTAAAATATTAAATGTGTGTTTATCTTTTCACAGATCAGCACTTCCAGTACTGAAAACTCAGGTGAGCTTTAAAAGTAATGTTGCTGGGTGTAATTTACTTACGTAAAGAAAATTTTAGTAGGGTGGAGTGAGCTGTTTGAACTTAATGAAGGAACACACTTTTTGCCACTTGTGAAATCGTGGATTACTGTTGTTTGCACTATGTCTTGTTTGTTATTTGAAGTAGAGATATCTTTGTTTCAGGCTTCCATACACAGTTTCAACATCTGTCTTTTCAAAAAAATCAGTGTGTCAAACTGCAGTTTCTCATTACACCATGCATGTGCCTGAGGAGTGGCTCTGAACTGCACACTGGTGTCTTGCAACCCTAGGATGCCCCAGCTGAGCTGCTGGACATGCAGTTCTCTAGATTTTCAGTTGGTCCAGGAAGAAGTTGGAGAGAATCAATTAGTGTGCTCTTCTTCCCCTCATTCTTCTGCTTGTTCGTGGCCAAAAAGGAACAGAATGAAGAGGAAAGAAGACACTTTGAGAAGAAATAATGGGGAGATGGTTGGGGCAAGGAGTGGGGAAGCCACTAGTCTGGGGAGATAGTGAAGTTGGCAACATTTGCACATGGCTGTGCCCCCAGTTCCTGTCTGTACGCTTGATCTCCTTTGGTTTTGGGGCTCTAATTAGCAACCAGCATTCAAAGTGTGAACTGGGGTGGTTATGTGGAGGGAGGCATTTCAAGGTTCACATATGCTCTTATCTTTCCTAAGAGCAAGGCCAAGACTGCTGTTGACTTATTTATCCATTCTGTTGGCCTGGTCCTAGGACAGACACTTGGTGGACAGAGAGGAAGGAATGCTTGTCAAAGTAAGTAGTGTCTCATTTTGTGACTGAAGTATCATTATGTCCAAAATACTCCTAAAGCTGGGTTTCTGTTTGGTGACACTTGGCAGGATTCTCTGAGACTATTCCCCAAATGCTGCTTCACCCAAAACTTAAAAGAAAGGGTCATGTTTCTGGTACCTTCAAACAAAATCCAAAATTTATAGATCTGACATTTATTTTAATAGCTTCACATGGGTTATACTCAATCTCTGGCTGAGCAAATACATTTAGTCTCTGTTGTGGCATCGTTAAGGCTTTGGACTTGGTGTGAGAGAATCAAATGTTTAAATGTTTAGAAGTGTGTGTTGCCTCTTAAGCCCAGAGCTCTATTTTGCTAACTCCATGTCATTTTCATGTCTAGGTCACCTTGTTATGTATCTCTGGTTATGAGTGAGTTCAAGTGCATTTATCATCAACAACACACTTCAGTTATCAAAAACCCCAACAATCTCTGCTCTCTTTTCTGATGCTATTTTACTATGGGAGAAGTTGTGAAGGGAATAGAGAGTGGGAAAACAGTGGTCCAAAAAAAAAAAAAGTGTTTTCTTTTGCACATTTTCGAGATTTGGTTTTGTTTTTTGTTACCTCCTGACTTCTTAAATAGAAGTTAAAATACACAGCTGCTCTATATTGCTAAATCAAACTTTCCTACGGTGATTCACTCACTTTATCAGTAACCAGGCTTACTGCTTATAGGAAAACGGAAAATCATGAACTTCCCTGACCTGTCTTGCCCACTTCACAGTGAAACTAGTAGTGTCTTACATGAGCTTCCACAAAGCAGGAAGGGCAAAAGGTAAGTCTAGACAAAGAGAAAACTGCCAGTGCGTTTCAGCAGCTGAACAAGTTTATCAGTCTTTTGACTGAATGTCTCAACCATCAGTATATATTATTAATCAAATGGAGCTACTTTTCTCTTGCTGATATAGCAATTGCTTCTAAACAAGAAAAAGTAATAGAGGGCAGAGTTTCTGAGCTGTCACTTTGAGTCAAGTGCTTGCATGGCAGATAAATGGGTAATAGAGTAAGCAAAGTCACTTTGAGAACCATGTAAGCTTGAATCTGTTTGTGTATTAACATGATGAAGTAAGATGCAGGATGAAGATAAAGTTATTTGCAGTCAGTCCAGAGATGTGCTGGTTTTTTCCTGTATTTTTAACTTTGACCTTCAGTCCAATCTGTGCAAGGTAGCATCACAGCAAAAAGGATTAGGAAATGTTTAATTACCCCAACTTGGGGTGGATTTTCATGGTACTGTTTCTGTCACAGTTCTGAGCTGATTGCATCTCCAGCCTGCATCTCAAGGGCAACCTTTCTTCTACCCATGCTTGTCATCTGGCTTGAAATAGAATCAGGCACTTGGTGTTCTCTGACCAGCCCTAGTTACTTATTTCCCGTGCATCAGTTCAGGAATCACACGCACATACCACTCTTGCCCTCAAGGGGAGAGTCCTTCAAGCTTCCATTACTTTTCACAACTTCTTTTTCCTTTATATGAACTTGGTGCTTCTAATAACCAGATGACCTCTTAAGTCCTTGGCCCTGGCAAAACAGGGTTTGCAACTTTTCAAGGTGGTAATCTCCAAGGTGACAATTTTGCCTCTTGCATTACAGAAGTACCAAAGTGTTCTTTAATGCTGCAATCTTCTTCCTGTGTGCTCTTGAAGTTCCACTAATCTAGATCACTACAGAGTGAATTCAGATCAGTTAAGCACTGAACAAATGAGATTAGTATGGAAAAGAGTCTGAATGGCATCTGCAAAGGGAAATCTTGCCTCCCTGATCTCCTGGGTTTTAGGAAGGTGCCAGTGAGCACACAGATAAAATCTACTGAGTATAATACAGCTGAATTTTCAAAGCGTCTTTAGCAATACCGCACACCAGTGGTTACTGAAGAACCAAATTTGAAAGCTTGTTAAAGGGTAGAGAGCAAATAATTTTTCAGAATGGAAAATATGAGCCTTGTGAGTTCCAGGAATCAGTGCTAGGACATCTTAGTCAGCATGGTAGTACTCTAGGGAAGGGGGTATGCAGTGAGATCTCCAAGTCTGCTGATAGTGATGGTGGCCCAGTTGGGAAGAAGTCTGTGGCAAGACCTCACGAAACAGAGTAGCTGGGCATGAGCCTCAATTGTCTCAAGTTGTCTACAATTGTGTAGATAAATGTGAAGGCGAGAGGAAGTTGTTCCTCTTGATCTCAGTTTCAGAATGTAGTACCTTACTTAGAGCCGGTATTTGCTGTGTTAGTGTTTATCAAGTGTGGGGCTTGGGCTAGGGGGAGGGAAAGAAGGGGGGGAGTGAACGAGTTACCTGACTAAGTTTAAACCACGACATGCAGCAGAGGAAAAATGCCATGGTTATGTGATGCCGAACTTGGAACTGGCACTTGCAGCTCAGGAGAAAGATCTGAGAGTCATTGCTGACAATTCCCTGAAATCATAGGGTGGCCAAAAAAC